CTGGGATTTTTATATAAAGTGAGTATTTTTTGCATCTTAATGATTTCATCCAACTTGTGTATTAAAAGAAACAATGTGACAACTAACCTCAGTAAGAACATTGTTTATTGGCTGGAATGGGTTGGGCATGTTGACATCATCTACCTCATCCTCTTTCAGTGTCCTTCCTTCTCGCTCAGCCTCCTCTCGCTCCTGTCTGTCTCTGTCAGAGCAAAACATCTTCATTAAACTGTTGTTTGCATTTTGAACAATTTAAAGTCATAATAAAACAAGTAGAGACAGATATTTTCTTCGGTGTACACATGAGGGTAACAGATTATCATAAAAAAAATGTGGTTAGAGGCTCCAAATATCATCAGCAGCCATTTAAAAATGGGTGTTTCCCAGGGTTCTGTCCTTGGTACTCTTCCATTCTCTCTTTACACACACAGTTCTGAGGCCTTGCTTATTCAGTTTAAACTCAACTGTGTTTTTTGCTGTATGCGCAGTTTTGATGGACATGATCGCTAAGAGCGATAAGACGGAAGAGAATCTGACATGGAGATGTTGGTATAATTCTCTCATTTCAAATACCAGCAAGAATGTAGGACTTGGTTCAATCATTTGGCTGTTGATTGGATTTTGTGTTGCACTCAAATGAATAGCTTTTCCACTGAGGGGCCAGTGTTAGCCAAAGCTAACAGCGTGCCAAGGCCAAAATCAAGCTGCGTTTCCACTATAGGGCCAGTAGCCCCGCAATGCTACCCTAAACCCACCCTTAACATGCCTGCATAGAAAAACGTCACACAACCCCACCGTTTCACCAAGGAAGCTAGCTAGCAGACTGAAAACTAACTAGATCGGGAGTGCACATCAAACATGCTGACTCAAACAGCATATCATTATTTCACATAAAAAGTGAACACACATACTTATTCAGTTACACCTGCCTCAATTTATTGAAAAATGAGGATTTCTATTAATTGTCCATTAAATTGTGCGATCTCGAAAATGTTTGAGCGATCTCTCCCATCTCACTATACTATTATCCCTTCAGTCAGACCAACAGATGGAGCTCACAGAGAGAAAACAGGAGTTATGAGTTGTATGAGTTAACCGGAGTAAATGTATTTTATGACATGTGGACGCAGAAGTCCGGTGTCAACAAAGGCACAGGGAAGAGACTGATAAATACATGATTATAACCATAAACCATGTATGCTTTGTTTAACTTCTTCAAGCATTGGCAGGTAATTTCTTTAATCATATCTGTATTTATATTATGACAATAGTTAAAATAAGTAGCTTTTAGTATGACATATAAAATATTTCTGCTTCATACTGTGATCAGAATCCCCATCAGAACACAATCAGAACTTATTTCACACACTCCCTGTGGTGTCTGAAAATGCGTTTTGAGCTGAAAATTGTTGTAAATGTCTTTAATGTTGAGGTTAGCTGTTAGCCTGACGTGGAAACATGAGAAATGAGCAGCGGTGTTGACTCTCAAACGCCGCCTCTGTTAATAACCACTGCTCAAACCCTTGTTGGCCCACTTTGGACCAAGGAATTCAGTGGGCCAAAAAACTGTGCCTGACTTTGGTACGCACTAGCACGCTTGTATTTGGCCCAACAGTGGAAACACAGCTAATGAGAGCTTGCCCACTGTTCAAGGGGCAGGGTTTAAGCGGACCAAAAGTTTGGAAAAGTCTGGCATGTGACCAGAAAGAAAAGTCTGTCACTTGCATGGAGGAAGATTGAGTTTAGATTAAACATTACAAGAACAACAACAAAAAAATAAATACATTGATAAATCATCCACAGTAAAATCTATGAGATGCATTAAACAGGGTATATTTTCATTTTATGTTGACTTAACTAGTAGTAGTAGTTACTAAGTAGTAACTCTGCAGTAAAACAAAGAAAAAAAACAGTTAGACTATGAATATATATTTGAATATAAAAGAAAATAAAACCAGCTTAGTTGATATGAACTAATTTCTGAACTAAACTAAATTTCTTCTTAAACTATTCTTAAAGGGATAGTTCACTTTGAAATTAATTTTTGATATGTTTTAGCTTACCTCAAGGGCATCCAAGATGTAGGTGTCTTTGTTTTCACAGTATTTTCAATTTTGACATTTTTCGTTCAAACCGGTGTTGTCTGTCAGTCATATAATGCAGGTTTAGGGGGTCCACCTCAAAGAGCATGCAGAGAGAAGTCAAAATTAAACATGATTTAATGACTCGTGAATGTAAGTACACGCTGATGGCCTAAGACACGAAAGAGTGGTTTGTGTGAGAAAACGAACAGTATTTATATAGTTTTTACCTCTTGTTAACAAACAGCCGTCGAACTGATCTGAATCAGATGTCCGACTGAACCGTCTCCAGACGTTCCGCCGGAAGTGATCTCTCGCGTGTCTAAGTCACGCATTGTTTACACGGAGATATACGGGTAATCGCAATATTGCGATATATCTAAATGTGTTTAGTTCACTTCCGGCGTAACGTCTGGAGACGGTTCAGTTCGGTTCAGTTGGACATCTGATTCAGAACAGTTCAACGGCTGTTAACAAGAGGTAAAAACTATATAAATACTGTTCGTTTTCTCACACAAACCGCTCGTTTCGTGTCTTAGGCCATCAATGTGTACTTACATTCACAAGTCATTAAATCATGTTTCATTTTGAGTTCTCTGTGCATGCTTTTTGAGGTGAACCGAGGGAGGACCCCCTTAACCTCCAGTGTATGACTGACAGACAACAACGGTTTGACCAAAAAATGTCAAAATTGAAATTGCTGTGGAAACAAAGACACCTACATCTTGGATGCCCTTGAGGTAAGCTAAAACATATCCAAAATTAATTTCAAAGTGAACTATCCCTTTAATGACTATGCAACTGCTGACATATCTGCAAAATGGGGATTAGCATGACAACACATGTGAAAAGTCTTGTTAGCTCACTGACCTCTCCTCTCTGATCCGCCGAACTCTTTCTGCTCTTTCCTTCTTGTCTTGTTCTTCCTGAGCCTTCTGCTCTGCTGTATCTCTTTGCACACGCTCTGAAATTGCCTCGTAGTCCTTGGCAATGTTATTCAGGAGCCAGTTAAGGCCATTCTTGATGGATTTGTCAACCTTCTTACCATAACCCAGCACAGCAGAACAGGGCTCCTAAGATCAGAAGAAACAATGTTTAGTTCAGTTTTATATGATTGTTTTGTAACATTTCTAGTAATCAGTAATTTGTTGGATTGTAAATATAACAATATAAATAAAGCAGATTTCCTCATTAATTACAAACTCAAACTGGTCTCTGGTTAATGTAAACTTTTTAAATATTAACTCACAATCTGACAGAGGCATTTATTCTCGTTGACAATCTTCTCTAATGACAGGGTCTCGATGATATCTGCTTCAGCCAATGCCCCATCTTGGTCCTGTTTATTAGCCAGTCTGAAAGCCAATCAAAAGAATACAAGCTGGTCACTAGGTGTGCAGGTTCCAAGGTAAGCTGTCACAAACAAATGGCCTGAGGTCTGCACTTGAGGTGGACTGAATAATTAGCCTTGAGTTATTGAGCACTCTTGACTTATTAACACACTTAACAAGCTATTATTAGTCAAGGACTTCATCTACTGCTCACTCCCTCAGCTAATTTGACCCACTACAGTTGTCCAACGCTCCAACAGTTATACAGATGATGCATTGCACATTTTCTGCACACCGCCCCATTCAACATGGGCTAGAGGCAGGAATTATGTGAGAGTGCTCTTCACTGATTACGGCTCGAAATTCATCAAACCCTCCAGGCTCGTCAGCAAACTCTAGGTCTTGGCTCTGAACACCTTCCTATTTCTGTCAGACAGAGTTCTATTCTGAGCCCTCTTCTATTTTATCATTTACCCACACAGCCTCAACTCCATAACGTTTTGTTGAAGCAGTTTTGGTGTGTCTGATCAATATAAGAGCTAGTAAGCAAAATAGTAAAGAATTGACATGATGTTGTTGGTATAATTGCCAAATACTAGCAATAACAAGAAGAAAATCGCATGAACCACACACGCTGACAGCTTGTTTAGGATGAGCCCCAAGGTGCAGAGATCTTTTACATGTGTACAAATGAAATCATTCTGTCTGGTAGTATTACTGCCTGTTAGAGGAGCTGGACCATGCAAAACTGTAGAGGCATGCACAGGGTGGTGTAGAAAGCTGAATGCATCAATTAGGATGTGTTTTCCAAAATGCAAATCTTCATAAGGCAAGAATAGTACTAAAGTCAAGGGGGAAAAAAGATTAAAGACCCCATTCACCCGAACAAAAGCCTTTTACATTGAAGACCAGTAATAATTCATTTATTTTTTAATTTTCCACATTATATCTAAACACGTAATGCAGTATGTGAAGGTGGGGTATTTTACTTTTCTCCTTTCTAAACATGAATCTGCATATCTCATCAGTATGTACATATGCTTTAGGTAAAGTGAGATTTTGCACAATATTAGTATAAATCCCTATTATTTACTGGGGTAAATGCATTTAAGTAACTTGCATTTATCATTGAAGACCAGTAATAATTCATTTCTTTTTGAATACATAACGGTGATACATAAATGTCACATTCAGACACACCCATTTAGCAGCTGTGATGCGTGATTAATGGATTAAACTGGCACAAGTTTCTATATTTTTTAAGAATATTTGGTCACCACACCTTTATAGCTTTACTGAGTGATTGCTAATTATGTTAGTTAGAAAGAGTAACATTATTAAATGTTATAACACAACAACGGATTAAGGCCCTTGCACACCAAGTCCTAAATTCACGTCCAAAATCTTATCTTAAAATAAAATAAACCTGACCTCACGTTATGTCAATCACGCTTGCACACTGCCTCCGAAACTTTCGTCGGTCATAAAGAAAATCGAATTTGGGTTCAATTTTCTGCTTTTTTCGCATCTGTAGCAAGCAGTTTGAAAGGAGTTTGAATGGTGTTTTGACAATTCAGAGCCACTGAATCATGAACACGAAAAAACGCATACGAAAATTTTGGACTCAGTGTGAAATGGCCTTTAGAACCCATTGGATGCTTTAAACATATATTTGAAGGGCACCGCATATTTTCTTTAATTTTCTGTATATTGTGCTGATATACATGTGTTATATATTCATTTTGTCCAATACTTTGTTTTTATTTTATCGACAGCCATTCCATGTTTAATGATCTGTACTTATTCCAGCCATTAAGTCACATTCAATGACAAGAACATGTCAAGTTCTGAAAACTCACACTAATACAGGTTTGCCTGCAATACGAGGGTGCCGGAGAACCTCAGCCATTGTGTCTCTGGTTTCTTGGATTCTCTGGACATCACTGGAGTCCACAACAAACACTACCCCATAAGACTCAGAGTAGTAGTTTTTCCAAATGCCACGGATACGTTTACCGCCACCCAAGTCGAAGATTGTGACCTCAAACTTCCCCTGCTTCAGGTCCACCTTTGAGAAGCCCACTGTAGGGGCTACATCTAAAGGACTTTCTATGACAGAAATTACACATTATGAGAATTATCCTGGATCTCGAAAACACAAAAAATAATTAGAAACAGGAAATAAAATTATAGTGAATATTTACCTCCCTGGATTCCTCTGACTGTAGCGGTTTTTCCAGCATTGTCCAGTCCAACCATTACTAAAGTCACTTTCCTGCAAGAACACAAATATAGCAACACTTTTATTATGCATCACAAAGACCTCCCAAAGTTCAAGACGGCCTTTCCAACAAGAATTATTTTTCTGTTAAAGGTTCTCTAAGCGATGCTGGGCCAAAACATTTTTTGTCACATACATCAAACGTCTCCTCACTATCGGCTAGATGCCTGTCCCCTAAACACACTGTAAAAAAACGCGGTCTCTGTAGACACCACAGGCTCCACAAACGGCAACAAAAACAATCATGTCTTACCCGGACCACGAAACCTAACAAACAGTGTTCCAGCCAATCACTGGCAAGAAGTATTTGAGGGTGGGTCTGGGGGGTTAGTGCGCGTGCACATGAAGGGTGTGTGTGTGTGAAGGAGAGCAGCGAAGCATCAGAGGGAAGTTTGAAAAATTACCGACACACAACCAAAGAGACGTCGTTCTGAGGAATAAATTAAAAAGAAGAAGGAGCCGGATAAAGAATGTACGAAGTTCCGAATTTACATCGGTAGCAAAGCTTTTGAACGATGGCGAGAACTACGCCGGCAGAAGGGCTTACAGAAGGGCGGCGTGCTCTCCGGAGCTCTGTTCATACAGCCAGCGAGTCTCCTGTTGTGGGCGGACCGTCACATTCTTTCCATAAGAGCGGTGCACATCCTCGGTCTCCTAAATCTTGGAGTGGACAAGCTTTCGAGGAGTGGGATTCCTCAAGGAGAGTGGAAACATCACCCAGGATCGGTGCAAATGATTTGGGATCTGTTCGTAAGGGCGGAAGTCGACCAGTTCGCTACAACCGAGACCACGCACTGACAGGCGTTCTTCTCGCTATTCCACTCCTCTCTGACGGAGGATTCTCTGACATTGCGCTGGATGGGGACCAGGCTTTATGCGTTCCCTCCGGTGAAGATTCTGCCTATGGTGTTATGCAAAATTCTCGTGGCCCCGAACTGAGCCAAATCAGCCCTGGTTCGCGGACCTGAGAGGGTTATTGGTGGCTCCCCCATGGGAAATCCCCCTCAGGAAGGACCTGCTGTCTCAAGCGAATGGCACGATATGGCACCCAAGCTCCGTGCTGTGGAACCTTCATGTGTGGATGCTGTGGGGACTTTGAATGTGTGGGACACCCTGCACTCACGGTCTATGCTCTGAAATGGGGAGTGTTCACGAAATGTTGCCAGGACATCGATGTTGACCCAGGTAGCTGTCCCATGTCAGATGTTCTGCGCTTTCTCCAGCACAGATTGGATAACGAGAGTTTGCCATCCACGTTAAAGGTGTGGCAGATATTTGTTACTTTTCATTCCCCGGTTGACGAGCAATCGATTTGTAAGAATGCTCTGGTGATCAGGTTTCTGAGGGGAGCGAGGAGATTGTGTGCTTTATGGCCGCCATCCGTGCCCCCGTGGGATTTAGCTCTAGTTTTTGAGGGCTCTATCTTTACCGCCGTTCAAGCCGGTTGCATCAATCGCGATTAAGGAATTTCCGCGGGAGATTCAAGCATGTCTTTGCATCATTACGTCACATCTGTGCACATAAAGAAGGAGTCTCGGTTAGTAGGCTATATTGCATGTGAGGATGTTGGAGGTTTTATAGCCTTTTCTCACAGCACTTGGTATCATTAAACTTATCAATTTGATGGCGAATACAGAAAGGTTCAAACGACAATCACCAGTGACAACAGATTCACACGCTGTAAAAGGCAAAAAGACTTCAGAGTTGCTACAGAAAAAAAAGAGACTGCAACCGGACCCATGCGAAAACAAGGATAATATCGGAAGGGAAATACATGTAATCACGTAATGCTGATGTTGCTAACATTAACAATTTGAGAAGAAAACATAATTTGCATGGTTTTGCATGATATGATAAGCGATTGTTAGATTTAATCAGCGCGAATTACTGCAATGTCAGAACCAGAACAAAATTGGATGTTTCTAACTTGTTCAGATAGGGCCCTATGATTTCCACGATCACGGAATCGCGGACAAAATTGCGGAGCATAATTGACAAATTAATCTGGAATCTTGTGTTAATGCGGTATTTCGTGGAATTTTTAAATTTGGTTTGAAATTCTGTTTTTGTGTGGGAGAACAACGTATGTCTGGTGAAAATGCAGACTGGGGGAAGCAAATCACAACCCCCCACCCGTCATTTCAGCTACAATGACGAAATCAAAACAATGAAAGCATGACGCAGCGGCACTCCACGGCTCTGCTTTTGCGGGCAAAAAGTTAAGAAACTCAACGCTATAAGCCATCAGTGCCGAGCCAAGCAGTTCGCAAGTGGCTTATGCAGTGTTTCCCACACATTGACTAATTTGCGGCCACAAAATCAACTCCGGCCGCCACATATTACGTTTCGTTCATTTTTTTTAACACTATTTAAAACACGTAGCATATTCTTTAAGTTGTATTTCTCTATCACTCACACGTCTCTCTCACATACACACACCCACACACAACGTGCACACCGCGTCTGTCTATGAGGCGCCGGATTGGACAAAAGCGAACTCTGTGAGCAACACTGGGCGAGAGAGAGAGACAGAGTGTGACTTAAAATTATATAAACTAATATAATTTATTTTACTGGACAGTTTAAAGCTCATAACCATATTTTGTTGCTATTTGAGGAATGCAGTGTTATGTGGCATTATGTATTTGTCCAGAAAAGGCTACTGAGTAAATGTCTGTTACCTCAATAAATTTAAGGTCATTAATAATTAAAAGCACTCTCTTTTTACGACTAAAATAACAGTCAAGGGTAAAAAAAAAAAAAAAAGAATTCCCAAAAATTAAAACGGAAAAATCGGAATTTGGGAAAAAATAAAACATAGGGCCCTATAATATGACATTTTCCGATGAAAATTATTATGTTGGTCATACTTTCAAAAATAATAATTTGTGAATCTGATTGCCAGTATCCACACCGGTATGGTGACTGCCAGCTGCACACTCTCCTCAAACATTGTGTTCATCCACACTGTGTCGTGTTGAAGTACAATTCACGTAAAGTTGATAATTCCGCGAATAACTGCAATTGCAGATTTCGAACAGAGATGGTGACAAAGAGGGAAAACCGCGGACTGCAGCTTTAATGTAAGATCAGGCCTAAGCCAAATAACTTAAATGTGTATTTTAAAGAATTTCATTATGAAGCTTTTTCATTTTGATATCAAGACAAATGTATCATCCTAACATTTTTTATGCCCCCCAAAAATAGCAAGATATATCACATCAAGTAATCAAAATTCATTCATGAAGGAAATTTAATCTGTTTAAAGTTGCCTTTATAAACTTAACTTTTTGACACATAAAAAAATCCTTGACATTAACTTATGAATTTACCCACAGCTGTGAGCTAAGGCAAGCTAAGCCTGTACGTTAATGCATCATCTCATGACTAGTAAAAGCGCACAGGGATAAAAAGGATGATTCAGCATACAACACACAGAAATACAAAGAAAATAATGTAGCCTTTGCCAATAAAAATTATGTCAAAAATATAAATTAAATGATAAGCAGTCCAAAACTGTAGAGTCACAGCTGTTTAAACTACAAGGCTTCCAGTGGAGGCTTAAGAGGCATAAAAAGACATCTGTGGAGTAACACAAATATCTTGAAGTTACATGGGATTTCTGCTCACCATCATCAGCCTATGCTTAATTCTGAAGAAATGCCAGACAAACACATGGGCCAGGCAGCGTAAACAAACCTTTCAGTCATCACTGGTGCAAACAAGAAAGCTAAAGTCCTCAGCAACCAAACACACACACACACACACACACAAACAGATACTTAACTGCGGCACTTGCGCCGCAGGGACATCAAGCGCACTATCCAGGTGACAGTTCTCTGCAACCAGGAGGCCTTCATTGAGACTAGGAATAGATCAAGATGACAGCTAGCTTTCCCTTGACTCTGGTTGTTTTTGTTGACACACGCACACACACTCTCTTTTGTCGCTCCTGGCCTCTCTGTCAGCTCTGTATCTGAGGGATTAGCTGGGGATTTCTACTTAGCCCAACAAGATCAGTGGCAGGGTGCGAGAGGACACACTACGTTCAGCCAATGAAATTAAGACAATAACTTAGACAGTTAGTTAGTCATCAGTAAGACATAACCATAACATCACTGACACGTTTGGGGCCAGACATCTCCACTTTAAACGGACTGATTCTTGGGTACGATCGAACATTTTACCCAGATTTAGCCTTATCAAGCATCTTGTTTCAGGCACAGCAGGTGATGTGAGTAATCAGATATGAATCGCTTGGCTTTAAGCCTATGCCTGATTGTGAGTCATGTTCCAACGTGTATAGTGAGAGGTGCATGTAGGGCCTCTAATCAACAGACAGCATCTTTCTGAAAGTGGACTTAAATACTGAAATTGAACATGACACCAGGGCTAATGCATCTTCCTGACAAAATATGAATCTACTGTATTCATAAATGAACAACGTACCTTGGCACAAGTGCTTTGGTGTCGCCAGCACCAAAGTTATAAAAAAAATTATAAAAAAAAGAAATATTCTCAATTAAAATAGAGATTGAATAAAACAAATTATAAATGTTAGATGAAAAACAAAAAATAGACATGCTGGCAATTAACTTATCAAAAAAAAACTATGCATACTACTTAATAAAGTAGTATTAGGTGAAGTGAAAAAGTTTTTTTATGTCAAAAAGTTTAAAGTTGCCTTCATTAACCTTTTTTTGATGACTTGAATGCACCTCTTCTGTGTTTGTTATGTTTTTTTTTTCTACATTAAAAATTAACCTTGATATTTTTGGAGCAAAGTAATGAGGATGATACATTTGTCCTGATGAAATGCTAAATGAAAAAGCTTCATTAAAATAATGAAATTCTTGAAAAAGAAAAGCTTATTAAGTGACTTGACTTAATCTTAATTAATATAAAAATAAATTATTTCAAACTAATGTGGTGTGCAAAATACGCCAAAATATAACCATGCAAAATATCAAACCAATTGGCATGCAAATAAATGTACTTGTTATTTAAATTTTAATTTATTTATTATTACTTTTAACCAACTGGTTTCTAAATCTTTTTCAGAGAATGTATTAAAACCATTAAAGATGTATACTTGTTTGTCTTACGAGAGGTTCTCTTATACTGTGTAATATAGCTAAAACCTCTTTTCCATGAGATATTGAAGCCAAAAATTATCCTTAATTTTGAATTAATGTAAAACGCGTTGTGGCAGCATGCAGACAAGGTGGCTCGCGTGCCTATTGGCTGTCCTGCGGCAACTTCAGGAACCTATCGACAGAGGCCATTTGGTGATGAAGCGGGCGTGGCCTAGCCCTATATCTGCGTTTCCTGCCTGGGTAAGGATCATGCAGCTCTCACGCTTACTGACGGCGGCTGCCATCATTGTGAGCAATTGCCATGATGACTCTGAGGACTCGCCTGGCATTTTTTCACCGAGTCTGCACTTCCGCCCGCTGTAGTGCTGCGTCGTAAGGTCCCGAGCCTTCTCCAGCCCGTAAAAGCTAGCCGGTTAGCCCGCCAGCTTCACTCGAGTCGCTCACTGACGGACAACAGCCACTGCTTCCAACATTAATGAGGACGAGATAGCTACATCTGTAGAGAAGGCCAGCTGCTCTGTCAAACAGTGAGGATTGGGCGAGCTCTGTGGACCTCTCAATACACAGTCCTACCCTTCGGTCTGTCTCTTGCACCCCGTACATTGTCTCTCGCAACCCTGAAAAACCCAGTCGGTGGTAGCCTACATAAATCCCCAGGGCCGCGTTAAATCCCAAAGCCTTTACAAGCTGATGGAGCGCCTCCTTGTCTGGGCTCAGCACAATCTGCGCTCACTGAGAGCAGCACATGTGCCTGGTTGCCTGAATTTCAGGCCAGACACAGTCAATCAGAATCAATACTCCATCAGGAGAATGGTCTCTGCACCGCAGACTGTCCCTCTGCTGTGGGAAACATTCAGCAGAGTACAGATAGATTTGTTTGCGTCCCAAGAGAATGCTCACTGTCCGAAGTTTTTCTCCAAGAGCAGGTATGCGCTAGCCCACGTCCGGCCCCGCTGCCTGCTTTTCCCCCAGTTTCGCTCCTGCCTCAAGTGTTGGAACGAATCAGGGAAACCGAATGCTCGGTGCTTCTTGTGGCTCCGCTCTGGACAACCCAAGCTTGGTTCCCAGTCCTGATGCAGCTGACGAGCACTGCCACTTGGCCAATACAGTTGAGGAAAAAGCTGTGGTCCCGCAAACCTCCCAGACTCCCAATAGTGCCGTCTACTAGACGACTCTACACCTCAATATGGTCGGTGTTTGCTTGCTAGTGCAAAGCCCGAGGCTTTTCACCCCTAGACCGCAGGGTTACGGAAGTGCTCTCCTTCCTTCGAGAGCTGCTGGATAAGGGCAGAACCCCATCCACGCTCAAAGTCTATTTTAGCTGTCGTAGCTGTAAAATCTGCGACTGTCTTGTCACTGGGGAAAAATTATCTGGTCATCCCCTTCCTAAAAGAGCTAAGAACCTCTCATAGAGAACGTTTACTAACGTAACCTCGGCTCTCTCTAGAATAGGGAACGAGTACTGTGTATCTAGCTGTGAACAGTAATATCAGCTCATCGAGCTATATTTATAGGGCTAGGCCAAGCCAGCTTCGGCGGGAGTGTGAAGCAGTGGGTGTGAGGCGCCCCCTTTGGACCGTCACCAAAGGGCCTCTTTCGGTAGGCTGCTGCAGTTGCCGCAGGACAGCCAATAGGCACGTGAGCCGCCTTGCCTATGTCTGCATGCTGCCGCAATGCGTTGTACATTAATTCATAATTAAGGATAAATTTTGGCTTCAATATCTTGTCGAAAAGAGGTTTTCCCCTAGCATAAGATATTACTCGTTCCCTCTTCTAGAAAGAACCGAGGTTACGTTGGTAATACACTTTCTTTGAGTACACTTTCTTTAAAGTGATATTTCACTCAAAGATTATGTTCATTTTCTGAAGCCACATGTTCATGAAGTAAAAGGTAACTAGAAGCTGTTACTCTGCCTAACATCTCTCAAGTACCTAGCAATATATATATTAATGTTTAGGTTTAGATCCACATGCATGGGCACATGATGATAGAAATTTTGTAGATATTTTACGTTCCTGTGATGCATACATTATTAAATCACTAAGGGAAAATAATGTCCCATCATTGTGTTCAATCATTATAAATACTTTTCCATAAAATAATGCATTTTGAAAGCTACACATTGGACTTGACTTTACCCTACAATACAAAATAGTAACAATTTGAAATGTACTTGGTGTATCATAACTTTCATCAGCCATGTTGATTTTATTTTATTATTTTTTTTGCTATAAATAAATAACAATGTACAAAAAAGAGACAGTCGCCCAGTTAAGTCAAGACTCAATGGATCAAAGTTGTACTCACCTTGCAGGTTCTTTCCATCGTTTCAACCAGTTGCAACAGTTCGCCATCAGATTGAACATTTCACCCGAAGTGTTTGAAATGGGATTTATTATTTCATGACAGTTCCAACATTACTAAAGTTCCTGACTAATGTATTTCCTTTGTGTTTTAATCAACCCGTTATCTGCTATCAGTCTTTTATATGCCTATCTTGTGATTTGAGTAAAGACATCTTATTTTATCATTCTAGCAGAGAATAAGGAAAGAATAAACTAAAGATGACAACTATGTTACATTGTTTAATTATCACTTACAAAACTGACCATAGAGTTTAGTTTCATTTTACTCACTAACGTTACCCGAATCAATGCACCCGCACTGAAGGCTAACCAGTTAGCTAACTACTGTACGATTCATGAAAACTGAATTACATTATTCTGTCTTTAGATGGAAAATCGAATCATACAATAACTAACGTTATACATACTGTTTCAAAGACGTCCCGGTGAATGTTTTACACTAAATTTTAGACCGTTTCTTTTTTTTTTTTGCAAAAAGATGTAACGTTACACGGGATAACTGTTAGCTTGCTAACAGTCCGCTTTGTTGACCAAGCTGAATCTGGCTGCTATGGCTGCAGCCACAAGCTCGTCGAGGGTCGGGGTTGCCAAGTGTTTAAAAGAATTGAATAATATAATGTAACATATGAAAAAATAATTAAATTAAAACTTTCTTTGTAAGCTTTCAACATATGTGTGTAATAGGACAGCTTATAATCCTTACACAGAGACCCGTATTATACTGCTTCGATCTAAGTGGCCGAAAAATATCCGTTTGGAAATAGTTGACTTGGCAACACTGTACTTACCTAAGAGTAACGTAATCTAAACAGTGAACAGTGCCTCCCGTGGACGGAGACATAGCAAACTGTAGATAATTCAAATGAAATGAAAATGTTCACATCACATAAACGGGAAATATAAAATAAAAATATTATGGGCACCATTCTGTCTGTAATGTAAAGTAAAGACAAAGTAAAGTAATATCTGCATTTTCCCCATTTGGGCATGCCAACGATATCCAAAGAATTCATGTCTGTTTACAATAAACCAACAAACTCAAAGCCCCCTAAAATGTGTTTATTAATTAGGACAAAAAAGCTCTCAATATATAAACCCAGTGACCCAATCCAATCATATACAATTTACACTCTTGAAACATTTACAGAAGATACAAAAAAAAAGAAAAAAATAAATAAGACTGTTACTGCTCATAAATAGAACAGTTTTAAACATGCCTCTATTTGAGACACAAATTAGTCCTCCCCTTAAATGTATTTATTTATTTATTTTTTTTGTTGCTTAAAGAGCAGTCCTTTAGAATATGTCATGACAATGTTCGGTGAGGCTTTGTGGCACATGTACACTCCTCCATTAACATGGATATCTGAAGTTGTAAAGACTAGGCCTTCCCAGCAGCACCAGCTTGCTGTTATAAGCCAACAGTTCTTCTGATCCCAACAGAAGTCAGTCTGTCATTTAAAGACTGGGTGTCTTTAATTCTCCTCAAGTGATCACTGACTTAAACAGAAGCAACTTGATGACATTTGCAACATATGCAATCAGTGAGAATTTACAATGGTTCACATATCAAGGTTAAAAAAAGAAAAGAAAATGTTTATAGTGTGCTTGCAATACTTTGAGTGCCCTATGAATCTATATCCAGAACTTCTGCTCATAAAGCACCATGTAACACTGGTAGACACCAGACTTTCTGTCACAAAACAGTAAAGTTAAACCTTCCACTAAATGCCAGACTGAGCAGAACATTTTGTGCTTTCTAAAGAAGGTATATACCCTGAATAGAAAGACTGACCAAATCCTCTTGTAGTGTTATGGTTGCCTCTCATTACCAGGAATTGAAAAAAAAAAAAAAAAAAAAATCAAGCCAAAATGAGAGAACAGACTAAGCTCTTTGACAGAAAGCGATGACAAGTATTGACAAGAATCTGCTGTGCATTTTATAGAAAGACAACCTTACTATTTTACTAAGAACGCTTAGTATCAGATGATTAAGTTAAACAAAAGAAATATTAAAAAAATATTAAAAAAAAGAATTTTCAACATCAGAACTTTAAACGAGATAACAGACCTATGCTCTAAAATAAAGCAGCTGATCGGTCATATGAGACTACAAGGAGGCATAACTCGTTTCCCATGTGGATCTCAATATAGTTCAGTTTTGAGATGCTGACAAAGTTGTTCAGCACACGTAAGAACGCTGTTGGCCTACAGCAGCATTTAGCAGTTTTCCCAGTAGAAAGGCCTGCTTCTCTTCAGGTAGCACCTATAATGACAAAAAAAAAAAAAAATAAATTGTAACAAACTGCAAAAATTCAAATAACCTTAAAATGATTAACAAATAGGTACTTACTTTCATCATCCGAATCAAAACCAAAGAGGGATGTGCATTTATCCTTGTGTGTTTGCAGCTCTTCCTCACTGTTGAAACACTCAAAACATCGAGAGCAACGTTGCCTGGTAGGAAGTATTTCTGGCTTTGACACTGAGCCCAATAACTTTGTGCCTACCTGGGGTTCCTTCCAGCGTTTTGGCATGCTAATGTACGACTCATCTAGATAAGCTGAGGGAAGGGGTCGAATGAATTGTTTATTTGCAGGTTTTCCTGAAACCAGTGGTTCCTTCTCTTTAACGACTGGCTCTGAAGTTTTGGCAGAAACTTCTTTATTACTCTCACTGTGCCCATTAACAAGGCTAGGGTTCTTGCTACTGTAGCTAACAGAACTTTTATTGAGGACCAAAGGCTTTTCATCGTCATCTTGATTTGCAGATGTAGGGCCCTTGCACTTGGCTGCATCCTGAATCGGTTGATTGACTGAAGAATTTGCTACTGCCTCCATACTACCTTCCAGAATTTGAGGGCCTCCATGCCTTGTTGGTTCAGAATCTTTGGGGAATGAATTTATTCCCAAATTTGTATCCAGCCTATAATGTGTTCTTTCATGCTTATAAAGGAGCAAAATAGTCTCAGTTTGCATACAGCAACCAGGAAAGCAGCACATCGCTCTCAATGGATGATGGACTAACATGTGCTCACTTAGTTCTGTACGTGTTTGGTACCTTTCCTTGCAGCCGAAATGGTAGCATGGGAACTTCAGCTCACCTCTGTGGCATATCACATGGTCAAAAAAATGCTGGGGATTATATATCTTTCTGCAACAGAAAAGACATTTTTCCTTTCCAAAATTGAAAAAGAACAGAAGCGCCTTCTTGTCGCCATGGTGGTGTGACAGCACATGTGAAAGGACAAGGATTGACTTGGCAGTGAATGTACAAATCTCCACAGGGCATCTAACATGTGTAGATGCACCAGTTCTTTTTCCCTGGAATGGTGTGGAAGGCTGTTTGGACTTTGTCTGAGACCCATTTTTATACCCCACCATATTTATTTCCTTAAATTCTGTATTATTGTCTATGGGTTCCTGATTCTCAGAACTGTCTTCTGGACTAATTGTAATCTTCCTCCTTTTTATAGCTTCTCCACCCTCTTTTTGGTCTCCAGGAGTAATCATCATCTTTTTTAGCCTAGAGATCACAATTTCATCTTTTCTTTTAATTTTTGACTTGCTCTTGTCTTTTCTTTGTCCTACATTCTTAGATTCAGTCTTGACACCATCTTTCTGACTTTTTGCACATTCTGCATTCTCAATTTTCTCTTGGTTGTCCTGTGGTAATGATGTCTCAATTTTCTCTGGGTTGTCCTGTGGTAATGATGTCTCAATTTTCACTTTGTTGTCCTGTGGTAATGATGTTTCAATTTTCTCTTTGTTGTCCTGTGGTAATGATGTCTTAATTTTCTTCTTGTTATCTTGTGGTAATGATGTCTGATTTTTTTTATTTGAGGTATTTGTCTCAGGCACACTCTTAACTTTCCTTTTCTTTCTGATCACTCCATTTACCCTATGAGCTGAGTTTCCATTGGAATCCAACTGTTTGTCCTCTGGAGTTTCTGCTTGCATAGCCTTTGGTCTCTTCCTTGCTAGTTTCACATTGAAAAACTTTTTGTTCTCATCTGTGGGCTGAGATCTCTTTGCTAAAACCCTCCTTAGACATTTTGTCTTCATCTTGCAAACCTTCTCCTTTTGTTCATCCGATGTACTTAGAGGATCTGAATTCTTGACCAACCTTGTCCGCAATCTAACCTTAGGCTCTGTGCTTTGCCCTTCCTTGTGCAAATCTGTGATGTTCAAACTGCAGTTTAACCTCATTTTGAGGTTTCTAAACTTATTCTTCACCCGTTTAAACAGTCTCTTCTGGGCACATTGTGAGGCAGTCTCTGTGGTATTCTCAGTTTCACTAAAAAGCCCATTAGACTTTTTCAGTTCCTGAATGTGCACTTTAAAATGGATTGAAGGGCTGCGCCCATGAGTGTAACGTTTGTGACAGAACATGCACTTTCTGTCAATTCGGTGATGCCACAGTGCATGACGTAGAATGTGTGGGTTTTTGGTTTCTTTATTGCAAAGGCTGCAGGTAACTGAAAGCTGGCAACTTGCATCACTTGCGGGGATAAGGTCAGAGACTAGACCATCAGCAGCTGCATGCATATCTGGCGATGTCTCCACAGGCCTTGATGGCACCACTGGCACCTTCGTCCTCTCAGGCACAATTTTAGTGTCAAGAGTGTCAATCTCAGTTTCACTAAAAGTAGCCACTGTTCCATCAGGGAGCATTGTCTCTTTAGTAAGAACTGGAGGAGCATCCTCATGAAGAACCGTCATGTTTTCTGGCGTACTATGCGGTACAGGAATGGTGTCAGCTCTGGTGTCAGTTGTCACTTCTGGTAAAACATCAACATTAATATTTTCTGCAGGACTAATAGGACTGTAAGGACCATAGTCTGGATATTTAGTGTCTGCATCTTGGGGAACTGATAACTCGCTATTTACTTTTGGATCTTTAACTAGCTCAAGAATGGCTTCAACTGGAGTGGTTGTTTCCACATTTACAGCTGGGATTGGTGTAACCATGCTTTCCACTGCATTTCTATCCTGTGTTGCAGCTCCCAAGCTCTCTGTAGGTTCAAACTGTTGCCCAGCAGACTGTGGTTCTTGTTTGGATTCATTATGGTCCAGATGAAATTCTTTATCTCGATCTGATATTACTTTACAGTCAACTGATATTCCTTCAAATTCAGCTTGTCTTGAATATGTGTGGAATTTTCGAACCATAGAAAGGCCTTGTTCCCGAAAAACAATCTCCTCCCGTACCATGAAGTCTTTTTTGGTACATGGAGTAGATTCTGCTGATAGTAACTCAATAAGAGACGCATTACTGTCAGGCCATTTCAAATTCTCTTGAATTTTGTTAGTACTGCTTTCAGTGATATTAAGTGTCTCAGTGGAAATCTGTGAAGTCTGAACATCAGAAGAGAGGTCAACTTCATTATCAGGATATGAAAATTTCATTGTCACTTCACTGATTGCTGTCTCAAGTGAAATCTCCGTCAAAATATTTGACTGCTTTGGTTTCCTTCCTGGTTTCTTGGCCTGTCGAGGTTCACCATTTTCTGCTTGGGCAGCTAACTGGTCCAAAAGCCATTGTGGTTTCCTGCCCTTGCGTTTTAGAGTGTGCATCTCTGTCTGTCGGGAAAGTAGTCTCTGACGCCTGCTATTAAGTTGCCTGGTGTGATTCTTTGCCAAGTCCAATTGCCTATATGAACGTCGAACTGGAGAGGCTTCTGAATCTTTAACA